CTACCCAAAATTTGGGCTTGTGCTGGTGAATTTGAAGTTTTTTTGGATGATGTAAAACAATTCATTGAGAATGCTAGATCACAGTCTGTCAACATTGAATTTGTAATGGAAAATAATAATTTTCACGGTTATGCTGTTTGTAAACTTTTGGATAGAAACAATGGTGCAAAAAATACTTGTAGACACATTGGAAGATTTTTATTTGCTAATTGATTAATCTATTAAAGAAAGATGAAAAAAAAAGGAAGAGAAAGCAAAAAGAAAAGGAGGAAGTAGTTTTATTGGTTAGGTTTTTGATCAAGTTTTGGAAATTAAAAAAATCAATTTTTTTTGGAGAGGAAGTAGTGGTTTTTTGAATTTTTAGAATTCATTTTTCATTATTATTTTTATTTTTTAAAAAGTTAATAGATTTTTGCATAGAATCATTTAATCATTCATTCATATTCATTTTAAAAGTAATAATAATAATAATTAATCTTGGCGGTTTTTTTTTCGCTTCATTTTAGTATTTAAAAATTTAGTTTTTAAATAATTCTTTACTTATCATTTATCATTTATCACTATTATCATTTATCATTTATCACTATTATCATTTACTATATATCATTTATCATTTATCATTTATCATTTATCATTTATCATTTATCATTTATCATCTATCATCTATCATCTATCAAATTTTTTCATTCATATATTTATCATTTTTCATTATTATTGTCATTTATCATTATTATTATTATTATTATGTTTTTAACCCTCCAAAATAAAATAATGGCATTTTTAATTCAACTTTATTTTGCTATCATTTATAGTTGCTACGTTTGAATAATCAAAATTAGATGAGATCCAAAGAAGCAAGTATTAATTTGAAAATGATAGATTTAGTGATTTCTTGGAAATTCTTTTTTTCTAGTTTAAATAATTTTGGATGTTTATTGACAATCTCCGAGACAGAATTAGAAGCTTCAAAACAAAATGTTGTCCAAGGTAAAATAAAATATAATCTAATATTTAATATTTAAAAAAGAATATAAAAAAAAATTACATAATTACATATATGTGTGTGTATGTATGTTTATATATATATATGGTATTATTATTATTTAATTTCCATATTAAAAAAAAAAAATTACAAAGAGAGGAAAAAAGTTTATATATTAAAAAAAAAAAAAAACAATTGGCACTTAATTAATTAATTAATGAGTTACTAATTAAATATTGTTTTATTTATTTTACACATTTTCTTCTGGTGTGGTTCTCATAATTGTTTCCACTCTTTTAACTCTAACATAATTTGTAACACTTCTGATTACAATAAACCATCCTAAAGACATTAGAATATAACTACAAAATATTACAATTATTATCATGATGATTGTGAATCATTATGATTATTAAGATGTTAATTAATAATTTATTAATTATCATTAATTACCTTAACCATTCATTTTTTGCTAAACCATCTTTATCACTATCATCATCACTATAATTATAATATTCAGCATCTTGTAATGATTTACCACGAAGGTAGAAACCATACTGCACCAATGTAATACCTAAACCAGCCTGAGACCCATTCTATTTTATCAATCAATCGATTAATTGATATTATTAATTAATATTATTAATTAATGTGCATATGTAGATATTGATATAAAACTTACTTTGGCTGCATGGCTTGTATGTAAAAGATAAGTTAACAGAAATCCAACAAATTGAAAACTCATTGATACTATTCGTAAATAATATAAAGTTAATTATAAAATGGATAATAATAAATAAACAATAAATAAATATTTACCAAGCATATTCCAAACAAAACTAAAAAAATTTCCTACTGGTAATCCTTCAACAAGAACTTCATCTCCCATTAATCCTGGTGCAATAATGGTTGTTTCCCAATAAGGTGGTGTTGCATCAGCTGCTGCTGCTTCATATGGCTGAAGTAAGGAAGAAGAAAAAATATTTAGCTAATTAATTGATAAATAATAATTAATGAATGCGAAATACTAACAGGTGGATTTTCTTCTTCTTTTTCAGCTTCTGTTTCAGGCTTAGCTGATAAATTTGAAAATACACCATCAGTGGAATGTGGTGCACCACCACCACCACTATTGTTGTTGTTGTTGGGTTTTCTCTTTATCTTGTTTAATATAGAAAATCTGCCAATAATACTATTATTATTATTATTATTATTACTATTACTGAGATTAGAGCTTATCATAGGAGCGGTTTCGTTGCTATGACTATCATTAGTACTATTAATATTATTGTCATTGATATCCATACTCTCTATTATATCTTCTTCTTCTTCTACTTCAATATTATTATCGTTATTGTGTTGTTGCGTCGATGGTATAGGGATAACAGGTGGTGCAGGACTTGTTGAACGTGGCGATGTTGAAGACTCTCCTAAACTACCGTTATTATTAACAATACTTGTTGCTTCCTCATAAGAAGGTACTTGAAGTTCAACTTCTTGAACATCTTCTGAATTAGAAACCTAAAAAAGAAATAATGAAATTAATAGTAATCTAGCGAATTTAATTAATTTTTTAAAATAAAGAAAAACTTACTCTCGAATATTTACTCATTTTTAATTAATTTAATTATAATGTGATTGTAATAAGAAAAAACAAATAGTAAAAAGGAGAATAATAACGGATAATTAATGAAAGTTTATTTTTATTTAAAGGAAAAAAAAATAAAATTTTTTATTAGGAAAGACTAAGGAGAAGGAAATAATAAATGAAAACAAAGTGTTATACTATATTACTAATTAAATTATAGGTTTTAGTTTTTAATATTGAATATGAAAAAAAAATATTAATTTTAATTGTGCTGCAAAATTATTTATAGAAAAAAAAAAAAAAGATATTCCCAAATATGAGAATTTGGGTTTTTTGCGTGTGACAGTATGAAAATAAATTACAATAAAAAATGAGTCTTCAATTTATGTCTTCTAACAATTTAACAAAGGATCTTTATATTGATAATGATGAAGAATGCCCAATATGTAGGAATAATCGATATCTTACACCAAACATGAAGTTACTTGTCAGTGAATGTTATCATAAAATGTTAGGAGAATCACCCTTCATTCACTCAAAATTCTCTTTACAAATTATAGTATAATTACTGACCATCTATTCCTTTTATTTATATATATTCAGGTGTGAATCATGCATTGACAGATTATTTGCCAATGGTGCAGGACCTTGCCCAATTTGCAAACAAACTTTAAGAAAAATTAATTTTGTTGTTCCAACCTTTGAAGATTTAAGAGTCGAAAAAGAAATTAAAATTAGAAAAAAACTTGCACATCAGTAAATATATTTAGATATTTATATGTGTATGAGAGTGAGTGAGTTTATTTGTTAGTTTGCTTGCGTCTTTAATTCACCAACCATTTTTTTTTTTAAAATAAAAGATTTAATAAGAGACAAGAAGATTTTGATAGTTTAAAAGGATACAATGATTATTTGGAAATGGTTGAAGATATAGGTATAGATTTATATATTATGTACATGCATGTACATTTACACGTATGTATTTATATTTTACATCTACAAATATCAACACTTGTAATAACTTTAGCTTGGGATCTTATAAATGATACAAATAAAAAAGAAACTGAAGCAGTAATAGAAAAGTTCACTTCAGAAAATAGAGACATAATAGCACAAAATGCAAAAAAACAAGTAAATAAATAAATAAATAAATATATATATAGTTATAAGAGTTCTATTGATTCATATTAATTGTTATTTAGGAGGAAGAAGAAAAATTTGCAAATTATATTTCAGAAATAGAAAAAAGAAATAAAAAAAGAAAATTCGAAGATTATAAAAAAGAATTAGATGAAGAGCGAAGGGCAAAAGAGGCTCATGAGGCAGAAATAATAAGAGAATTGGTTAACTATCAATTATTAGTTGCTAGTTATATAATTTAATTAGTTAATCAATCAATTAATCAATTAATTTGTTTTCATATTAAATATTTACTATATCCAATTGTTTCATCAATGCATCAATTCATTCATCAATTACAAGGCAAATTCTACAGCCCCAGCATCTGAAACAATAAAAACATTGGCGTACAAAAAATCTATTGCTGTTTCTTCTTCAACAAGTAGTACTGGCAAAGATTTCATACCAGGGTTGTCGCAAACTTCTTTAGAAGAGTATGATAGTGGAATTGCTATTAATGAGTTGATTGGATTTAAAAATAGAAAAATGCCAAAAGAAGACACTTTACAATTTGTTCCTCTTATTGATGAATATATGGATGTTGATCATTATACATTAAAAGATCGTTATTATGATCCGTATCCTTTTGATATTATTATAATTTTTTTTTTTGTGTTTTGTGTATGCATGCATTGTCATTATTATTTTTTCCTAACCAAATAACAGTTATATTGAAACAACAACACGTTTACGTAGTGGTGGATTTTCACAAAAATACATTTATAAACGATCTTTAGAAGCTGCTTTCTCTGGATTATTTTCATCAATAAAATCTGATGATGATTATAATATGATAATTGATCAATAATCAATTGGTATATTCTGACATTATATATATGATAGTATGTTATTTGAATAAATTTTTTCATATCCTTTTTTTTTGTTCAAGAATAATTGACGGCAAAATTTTTTTTTTATTTTTTTTTTTGTTAGAAAAATTTATTTTTAATTATTAAATTAATTGAATAATTGATTTAAGTAAAAAATTATAACAATAAATAAAATTATAATAAGAAAATGGAAAAGAAGAATCATAAAGCATAAATAGACACAATAATTCATTTAATCAAATTACATCCTAACAAAATGAAAAAAAATCACAATGAAATAATTCAATTTAATTTTTCATATATTTTTTCAATTCGATTAACCCTTCTTCTCTTGAAATTTTTCCAACATAACCCAACTCGGAACTGGCTTTAGAGTTGTCTAGATTATAGGGTTTAAATATACAAACCAACGATTCTCTACAAATGCTTCCTATTACCCATGATTTAGCATAATTGAGAAATGGAATATTTTCTATAAATCCAACAATATTAAAAACCAACCCTTTAGAAAATCTGAAACTATTAAAAGGTTTTGGTGGTATGATGTCATATGCTGTGCCAACATAAAAATCAATAAATTCCTCCATGGTAATATCCTCGGTATCATCTTTGATTTCATAAATTCTTATTGGTGCTGATGACAAGGAGGTGGTGGTGTTATTGGCGTTGGTGGTGGTGATGGTGTGAGAAGGTAAATTTGTTTTTATACAAGATAAGTAAATTGATTCACACGCATTCGTAATATGTAAAATGGATAATTTCATACTAGTTGGTGTAATTTTCCAAAGAGGATTCTTAGATAAATCATTTAATTTAGGTAATAAACTGGTATCATCTTTACCCCATATCCAACCTAATCTTAAAATTATTATTTCATTAATTGAGGAAAATGCTGATATCTTATTAATGACTGTTTGTTCTTTTAAACATTTTGATTTTGAATAAGGTGCCCAATCTGGTAATGAGTCATTTGGATAATGATTATTTAATTTTGCAGTAAATGATGATATAAGAACAAATCTTCTTGACTTGGTGTTGTTGCTGTTTAATGATTCTATTGCATTTAAAAGATTTAGTGTTCCTTGTACGTTGATTTTTTCAAATTCTTCATAATATCCCCAATTATTTACCTAAAAAAAAAAAACAGAAAAAATTTTGAATAAATAAACATTAATTTATATTTTTGTAAAAACAAAAAAAGAATACCTTTGCTGCCATGTGAACAATTATATCAGCTTCATTAACGCCTTCTTTCAATACATCAATATTCTCAATACCTCCACGAATTATTTTTACTCTTCCGTCACCATTTGAAACCTTTTCTGATGCCTTGACAATATATTCATCAGATACACTGGAACGTGATAAAACATTTATCTTAATTTGGTCATTTTCTGAAAGTGCATACTCTATAAAATTACGACCTAAATATCCTGAACCTCCAGTTAAAAATATTTTCATATTTTTGATTTATTGATTTGTTTTATCGATTAGGCCGTTTTTTATTAAAAAATAATTATTATTGTCCAAAAAAGGTCATCAAAACTAATACTAATAATGTCAACTATAAATGTCAGTCCGAAATTTAATAAGGAGCTTTCTATATAATTTAAGTAATCAAATTCTTTTGTTGGAAAGATTTTCCGTATTACAGAAATTTCAAGCCAGCCTTTTTACACTTAAAAAACGCAAGAGAAGATCATCCCGAAATTTTACAATTTTACTAATTACATATACAATTTTAAATAAACAAATACCCTCCGTATCTAATCAAATTAGACCGTTTGGGCCGACAGATCGTCGCCGCCTTTTCTTTCCACGAGGCTGAAAATAATAAGAAAATTATGGTGAATTTCATCACGAAGACATCCACGACACCTCAAATTTAATATTATTTGATAATGTTGATTTTATTATCTTTTATTTTTGTTAACATTGTTATTATGATTATGACTATTATCTTATTATTATTTTTATTATTGTTGTTACTTTTATTTCTTTTCATATGTTTGTTAATACCAAAACGCATTTCTGCATTTATAACCTTTTAACGACGTGTTTTCGATATTTTTTCTTTGATTAAATCATTCACGTTTTCCATGACATTACATAAGATTTTTTTATAAAATTCATTGATCATAAAGGTCTTTTATTATAATTAATTTTATCAGATCAATGAATGTGAGTTGGTTTTTATCTTGATATATTCTCCGATATCAATATGTTTTTCCATCAAACATATTTCCAGGGCCAATTGGCACTTACGTACGGATCACGGGATTTTTGTAAATGTTTGACGATCTTTTTATGTAATGAATCACATACTACATAGTGAAGTTTTTGTCAAAACCAACTCTTTCTTACATCGAGTGTCGACCGTATGCATATATGCAGAGCATGTAATAATGGAAAGGTCAGAATGGTTGTTGAGTTTAAAATAGTGGCACGTAGGTGACACAACCATTAATAAATTTTTTATTATTCTTTATCACCATCTGTTTTCTTCCTAAATACAATTTTGATGATTCAAAAAAAATTTTTTTTTCAAAAGATAAAGAAAAAGAATACGGAAAAGGGAAATCAATGGTTCTTTTTATGGATATTCTAGCCCCAGACACTTACAATAAAGAGAATAAAGTAAATTATACTCTTTCCGATCGATAAGATTGTTTGTTTGTTTGTTTTAGTATTAATCACATTTCCGCTTACGAGAATGAAGTCAAAGTAGAAATTAAAAAAACTAAAAAAAGCGATTAAAAGAATTAGAAGAAAGGTCTCATGATGCAAATAGCTTGTGTTCTTTTTTTGGCTCATTCATTCATTTTTATAATTATTTTATTTTATTTCCTTGCTGTCTTCATCATTGCATTTATAATTAAGAAACAAAAGATTATATTTTTTCTAAATTAATAATTGAAAAATACAAACGCACGCTTTTTTTGGGAAGAAGGAAAGGAATTTTTTATGATAAGATCTCCAAAAAGAATTCTGGATGATGTTTGTTATCAATGAAAATATAACGATTTTGCCAACAATCGTTGAAAACCTGGAGATAGGCGACCAGAATTCTTTTGGTGATGGTTTATTGGATAAATACATGTACAAATTTCAAAACGAGGTGCTTGAAAAATACACGCGTATCATTCATTTTGGTTTTTTTTTGCAACATCATTTAATTTTTTTTATATACCAGTACAAAGTGAATTCTCAAGCTACTTAAATTTTGAAAAAGTGACCAAGTTTATATATTGGATCCAAGCATCCACAATACAAGACATCTCACAATTTGTTCCTGGTATGTCAAAGACATTTACATCTATTATTAAATTATAGTTTGCAAGCATAATAACTTCACTTTATTAAAATATCAGGAAAAGATTCACTAGAGCCAGCTGTGATATTGTATTTATGTCTTGAAGGCCAGAAAACATTTAATTGATTTGGCTGTAAAATCTTTCGTGTTTTTATTAGCTCTAGTGATGGGCGTAAAGCCCTTTCCCGATCAGTCTCAAGTTGTTAACTTAAAAACTCATTCAAAAAGTGATACAGTATTTTGTAAATGTTTTAATTATCACTCAAAAGCAAACATTTTTTAGCCTTTATATACAAAGTATTAATGCCAATTTCATTAATTTCTAAATTAATCGCTTTCAATCCTATTTTCTTCCACTTCATCTTGCGAAACTTCATTTTCTTCAAATTCTGGTTTTATATTAGTATAAATTGGTACAGTTATACCTCTTTTTCATATGTTTTTCAAATTTTGTGGGATGGGATATAACCGAGTATATAGAATATTATATAGAATAAGGACATTTTTAACTGTTCAGATGTGGGATAAAAACGAGGATGAGGCTAAGAGGGGATATATATGGCGGAGATATAAAAGAGGCATGACTGACTAGAGTTTGAGTTAAATTGTTTGGCCATTTGATTTTTGCAATTTTTGAAGCAAAGCTGTACTTGATGTAAATTGTATGTAGGTGAACATAAAGTCTTTAAAATGGTCAATTCTTCAAAACAGATAATATAATGCCTTTTCAAAAGATCATGAAAAAAAAATTTTTTGCAACAATATGAGAAGGCCCAAGTCAGTTCTGAAGTATGCCACTAGAAATGTTCTTTTTCACGTCTCAAAAAGTTCGTCAGAGAGAATTTAAGTCACAATTGGATGGACGTACCTTATTTAATAGTGGTAGTATCAAGAAATCTTCAAGAATTGCTTGAAAAATGATTCTGCACTAACACCTACTAACAATACAATCGTTGTTATAAAGATAGCAATTCCACCGTCGCTACGTCCAATGCCAATTCTTCAAATAATAAAAGGGCTTTGTGGAAAATACCACAAACAATGTTCAAAACAATGATGAGTAATGAATTAAAACATTATCGATAATTCTCTCACTACTCGAAATAACTCTTCAAGTAAAAAAAATTTTATTCAGAGAATCCTAACAATGATTCTTAATTAATACCGCTTCTACTAGCATTGACCCATTAGAAAACGACATTTCAGATAATGATGATGACAGTGCCCATACTTGGAAAAAATCAAGAAAGTAGGCGTAATAGATGATATAATTTATAATTAAATTTTTTAAATATGAAGATTTAAATTTTTATTAGTATTAGATATTCTTTTTTCCAAGTTAAATCACAATATATTTCAAATTAAGTCTGAAACCAAGCATACAAATGAAGCATCGAAAGGATAGAATTCTTCAAAAATAAGGATATTGGTTTATTAAAAAGTACAAAAAAAAAAAAAATTAATAATAGAACATATTAATATTAAAATGTGGATAATCAAATAATTACGGATGGACCTTATTCCAGAGCCCTCGTTAGATTTGGCATTGTCACGTGTTACGGTCGAGAGTATTTATTGTTATATACAACTATTATTATCACTATTTCAACGGCATAGGGCTTCTATTCGAATAAAAAAAGTAATTCGAATAAATATAAAACGAAT